CTTTTATTATTACTATTTAATGGAGTGGGAGAGTGGCTTGAATTTGATTTTGGTCGAGTGGGGACCTAACTTGTGGTGTCAATTAACTCACTCACCTGTCTCCATTATGATCGATATTTTAATTTAGTCTCGAAAAAAAATTAGAATTTTAAATATTAGAAATATTCTTTGTAATTTGATAACACCGAGCTCTAGGGACAAAATTGTAAATTTTAAAATGATAGGCTAAATTTGTAATTTAACTAAAAAAGTATTTAGAATCGCTAAAAACGTGTTAAAAAGTAAAAAAGTGGGAAAAGCATATATTATGTTATCTTGTTGGTTAGGTGCGGGTTTATGCCCATTACCTTAAGTCTTTGACAACGACTTAAATTCCTTTGAACAAAATCAAACCGACTTTATGTATAAATTTAATGAACAAATTAAATGTACAATCTTATTCAAAATTTTAAAAATTGTTCCTTTTGTAGCTTGTAATATTGGAAGTTATAGTGTTACCTAATTCTTCATGTTTTCATTATTATTATTTTGTCTTTAGTCCGAATATTTAAAATTCTAATATATAATATTTCATGCACTAAATACGACTATTAAAATTTTTATGCAATATGACTTAAAATTTTGTGTATTCAATGATTTATACCGAGATATGACCTGAAATTTTGTATACTCAGTAACTTATACTAAGATATGACCTGAAATTTTGTATACCTAGTGGCTTATATTGGGATATGACCAAAAATTACTTATACCGGGATGTAACCTAAAATTTTGTATACCCAGTAGCTTCTACCGGAATATGACCTGGAATTTTGTATACCTAGTGGCTTATACTGGGATATGACCAAATTTTTTGTATACCCAGTTGCTTATATCGGGATGTGACCTAAAATTTTGTATACCCAGTAGCTAATACTGGAATATGACCTCAAATTTTGTATACCTAGTAGCTAATACTGGAATATGACCTCAAATTTTGTATACCCAGTAGCTAATACTGGAATATGACTTCAAATTTTGTATACCCAGTAGTTTATAACTGAGATATGACCTGAAATTTTGTATATCTAGTGGCTTATAATATCCATATTAAGTTGAGCAAAGATCGAAGAAGAAGGTAAAGATTACATGAAAGAAGGGGAAGGGTTAGTGTTGGGGATAAAATTATATAGAGAAATATTTAAGGTTTTTTTTTTATATATAAAATGTGTGTTTGGAGGGTTTGAGTTGTCCAATCCAAAAGACCCAAACGGTTGATTTTGACAAAACCTTAAAGAATGTTGTTGACTTGTCTTTTTCATCCTTTAAACATTTTTTTTTTTAATTTCCTTAGACCAAAATTAAAAAGAATAAAAAACAAAAATCACTTATTACAATTACTTATTAGCATCTTCCCATGTGATAGGTCTGCCCTCCCCATAACTTCAAAGCCTTTTGTGACAAAAAGAGCTCATCACATGCAACACCATATGGGTCTCCCATTTGACTTAATTCTCCCAAATAAATGCTTCGATTCCTCAAAATCTAACTAATTTTATAAAACAATCATGGTAACGATCCATGTCTATGATTCGAAATCTGAATTTGGTATTTGATAATCCCGACGATGTTACCTATTTATTACATTTGTCATCCATTTATAGGGTTCAGAAGCTCTCTAGACAAATCTATGCTCGAGCGCGAGCTACAAAGCCCTCGAGATGAATCTATATTTGAAGAAAGAACGAGAGAATCAAACATCTCGATGATTTAATATTGTTCATGCCAATATGAACTTAGTTTGTTGAAAAGTCCACGAAGTGGAAGAAACTAAACTCATAGCCTTATGGACATAGCAATGGATGCCTCGTTTTAGCCCTCCAACATCAATGCATGCGGGCTTCAATTTTGTATTCTTGGGCCATGATCTATACGAAGATCTTCAAAGGGTTGTTCTTGTATTAATCTTAAAACATTTTATAGTATATACATTTTAAAACTGTGAGACTAACGTAACGAGCTAAAACAGACAATATCTGCTATAGTGAGCTAAAACAGACAATATCTGCTATAAGAGAGGTGGATTGTGAGATCCCATATCAGTTAGAGAGGGAAACAAAACATTATTTATAAACGTGTAAAAATCTGAAGAGAAAATCAAAATAAGACAATATCTACTAGCAGTGAGTTGAGATCATTACAGTGGAATATCTTCATTTTTAGAAGCGAGATGAGAAGGAATATTGGGGAGTAATTAATTTAATAACTTTGGTTAAAAGAGATTCTCTTTTACATATCAATATTTAAATTAAATAACATAAATTAATAATCGTCATCAAGATAGCCAATGATTAATGAATTTTATAAAAATATTTATACAAAATGAATATTCAATAAAAATGGGTGTCTTTTAAATATTATTAAATATTATGTGGTTTATTATATATTTAATTTAGCAAATCATTGTGTGTTGAGTAAAGTGGATCGTAATCATCGATGATTCTTTAACTAACCCACTTAAATTATTAAATTATTTGTTTTATTTCACTTTAAATTCTAATTTACTTCTACTTTCATGCTAATTATATTTTAGTTTTTTCATTTTTAAATATATTTTAATTTAATTTTTAATTTTGATCTTTGTTTATTCAATTTTTTTAAAAATGGTATAAAATTTGTAATATTTCGGAGATCGAAACAATTGTATAACGGTGTGAAAACATTTTCTAGCAGACGTGTTTTAAAGTCTTGAGAGAGCTCGAAAGGGAAAGTCCAAAGAAAACAATATCTTCTAGCGGTGGGTCTGAATTGTTACAAATGGTATCAAAGTCAAACACGGAGCGATATGTTCGCTGAAGGGTAGACATAAGGTAGTGTGTCATCTTTCTTTCCCGGTTATAAAAATATCATTTCAAAATAAATTAAATAATGTTTTAGAATAATTATTATTTAATTTTTTTAAATTTTTACATTTTACGTTTTAATTTTTCTCAAATTTATATATATAAAAAAAAAATGAATAAATTAAATTAAAAAGAATATTTTAATTTTTATATCGTATTTTCAGTTACTAAATTTTAATTTATTAGCAATTTAGTAGATTATATATTATTCGATAATTAGATATTTTGAACCCAAAAATTTGAATTTTTCTCAGTCCGCCATTGACCTCTCCATCTTCAAACGCTCTCTTACCCACAGTATGTACGTCGTCGCCTTTACATCCACATTCTCATCGCCGCCGTAGCCACCGTAAGTTCCCCGCATTTCACCGTTTCCGTCGCGAAATCCGCCGTGCGCCGACGAAGCCTGCTTCTGCCCTGCACGAGGCGCGGCCGCCGATTTGTTCGGGTAACTCTCAGATCGCATCTCGCTCCTCTCCCAAAAACGCCCGCAGCCACCACTGCCGACCGTCTCCGTCTCGAAATCCATCGACGCCGGCGGGTTGCTTTGCTTCCCTTTGGCTTTGGCTTTTCCGGCGGACCTTGCGGCTCGATATAGACGCCTCATGAAGCACTTTCGCTTCGGGTTTTTCTCCATTTTTGCCGACCCGGTGAACCGTCGGCGGATGAAAAAGGTGACTCGGGTTTTGCTCAAGTCACTCATCGTCTCCACGCTTTATATAGGACGTGCCTCACGGACGGTGCTTTAAAAAACAATAAATAAATTATAAATGCTTTCTTTAAAATGTATAAATATATTACTATTTTTTTTATTAACCTTTAAAATATTGTGTTTTTTTTTTTAAATATTCACGAACAGAAAAATAAATAAATTTTATATTTAATGTATCAAATAATTTTTAAAATTTAAAATATATTGTTTAGTAATAGAAGGGCGGAATATTTATAGGATTTTATGCTTTAAAAAAGAAAAAAAAAAGTAAAAAAATAATTGTAAGAGGAGAATATGGTTTAAATAATAGATTTCGTGTGAACCCAAATTTAGATTAAATTAATAGAAAATATTGTTCTCGAGAATTCTGCCGAGATAATGGTTGGTAGACATCTCTAATGTCTCTAAATTTTTATGTCTAATAGATCTCTAAACTTTAAAATTGATTAACAAATTCTCGAAATTTCAATATTATATTTTTTTAAAACGTTAAATATGCCTAAAAAAAAAGTTTAATTATATATATATATAGTTATTAACAAAAAAAATTAATTAAAAAAAAAGGAGTATTTTCAACAAAAAAAATTAATTAAAAAAAAAGGAGTATTTTCAATTTAAGAGGGTGGTTCTAACTTTATTCCAAGAATACAAATAATGAGCAAAAACAAAACATGATTAAATTACTGTAAATCAATGTGAAACTAAGGTTAGTTGTTCTTCCATTGTATTTTATAATGAGTATTCTTTTGCAATTAAAAGAGCTTTTATAATCTTCTTTTAATATTTTTAATTTTACGATAATATTCTCGGGTGCATTTAGTTTGATAATAAAATATTCTTTTGTTCGAGTTGGTAGAATATAGGTCTTTAAAAACTCGATACCGTAGGTTCAAATTTTATTGAATCAATTCAAGATAACTTATTCTTATTGAATTTTATATATCCATTTGCAATTAATAACTTATAAAATGTCATTTTTCATAGTATTGCTTCCATTTCCGTTTTTCTTTTGTTCACGTAATGGGTCAAAGCGGATAATATCTGCTAGCAATGGGTTTAAGCTATTGCAAATGGCATCAAAACCAGACACCGGGCGGTGTGTCAGTGATGACGTTGGGTCTCCTAGGGGGTGGAGCAGTGTGCCAGTGAAGATGCTGCTTCTTACGTACTGGCATCAAAACCAGACACTGGGCAGTGTGCCAGTGATGACGCTGGGTCTCTTAAGGAGTGGAGTAGTGTGCCAGCGAGGAGGCTGCCCCTTTTGTAATGGCATCAAAACCAGGCACCAGACGGTGTGTCAGTGATGATGTTGGGTCTCCTAAGGGGTGGAGCAGTGTGCCAACGAGGACGCTGCCCCTCCAAAAGGGATGCATTATGAGATCTCACACGTGACTCTTCCCAATGAGACATTTCACAGACAACACAAAAGCATTCCTTAAACTACCCGAACAAAAAAAAGAAGCAACCAGAGAGTGGAAGGTTGAATTCTGAGGATAATAAGCCATATTAGATTAGATCTATTTCAGAACCAAGAAGAATGAGCCCTCTTCTTCCATGTTTCAAAACCAGAATAAATCTATGGATGATCCATCAGGTCCGTCCTCGAACATTGAGTAGCACCGGATGTTGGCATCACTGCTACCGTCCGAGACCAAACGAGGACTAACGAGGTCACTCTCGAAGCCAAGACCATCGGTATGGCTGAAATGGGATGAGGGGATGAGGTTGGATTGGACCATGGAGGTTAGATTATTAATCTCCCCAGCCTCAACTGGTGTTGACAGAAGAGAGAGAGCACAGCCATTTCCCACCACTTTCTGAACATTCCCAACGTTGCTGGATCCAACATTGAGAAATGGCGGCTGTTTTTCTTTGTAATCACAGCCCGACAACCCGGGAAACATACTTTTTCTTCTGTCAGCAACATCGAGCTGTGAGTTGCTGCTGCAAAGAGCGTCGTTATGCTCAGGCTTGATCGTTCCGATCCAAGATGAGCTCAAATCATTGCAAGCAGACAGTAACTGGTTACCAAATGGTAAGAATCTTGGACCTGTACAAGCAAGTCATTCGACGGCGAAACATGGAAGCGTGCAAGAGAATGCCTAAATTAATATTACGAACCTTGGTTGCTATAGAGAAATCGTCCTGCATTAAGCGTCATCGTTGCAGGTTGAGGCTTTCTTCGACGTCGGTTGTGCCCATCAAGACGTTTCCTACAGCTTCGTTTTCGATCATCGAACTCCACCAAAGAATGGAATCTACAAGAACATGTGTAATTGAACTGAAATGAATACCAAGAACAGAACCAACCAGACAAAAGTAAGAAGTAAAAGAAACATAAAATGCAAGTCCCACAAAGATTTGCTTGCAATAGTTATTCAACCATCTGGTAAAAAGCAAATAGATTATTGGATCAGCCTGTGTTTCTCGATCCAATCTGTTTAAGATTCGCTTCCGGGGTCCGAGGAGTAAAGATACGAGCATGCCTTGAACATGTTACAACAGAAAACAAATGCAAGCACAAACTCAAGGTAGTGAAATAGAGTAAAAGAAGAGAGCTTATACCACCTACTGTAACCAAGCCCACTGCTAGTCGATAGTGTCTGTTTTGGCCCGTTATGTATCACCGTCAGCCTCACGATTTTAAAACGTATCTACTAGGAAAAGGTTTCCACACCCATAAGGAATATTTCGTTCCCCTCTCCCACCAATGTGAGATCTCACAATCCACCCCCATTGGGAGCCCAACGTCCTCGCTGGCACACCACCCAGTGTCTAGCTCTGATACTATTTGTAATAGCCCAATCCCACCGTTAGTAGATGTTGTCTGCTTTGACCCGTTACGTATCGCCGTCAGTCTCACAGTTTTAAAACGCGTCTACTAGGGAAAGGTTTCTACACCCTTATAAGAAATGCTTCGTTCTCCTCTCCAACCGAGGTAGGATCTCACAATCCACCCCTTTGGAGGCCCAATGTCTTCATTGGCACATCACCCGGTAACTGGCTCTGATACCATTTGTAACAGCCTAAACCCACCGCTAACATATATTGTCCGTTTTGACCCGTTACGTATCATTGTCAACCTCTCCTTATCAGACGCATTTTAAAATCGTGAGGCTGACGGCGATACGTAACGGGCCAAAGTGGACAATATCTACAAGTGGTGGGTTTGAGCTCACCCACTTTCATTAATGCACCATCACAACGAAACCGTATCGACTATACTACATATCATAAGTTCAAAAACACTTTTCAGGAAGGGCATAATGCTAAACTTCAAGTCTAAAATGTTTGATTCATGAGAAAGTTGAAAAGGAAATAGAAAAAAACGAACAGCCTAAAAGTATATCCCATCTGCATAACTTCAATTCTAATGATCAGAAAAAAAAAAACCATAAGAAGGCTGAATCAATGAAGAAAATTGCAGCATATTGATGTTCTAAACATTCCAACCCACCTGCTACATTGCTGGCAGAATCGTTGTTCCCGACCGCAAATGGTTACTTTTGGTGTTTTAGAATGGAACTCGCACACTTTATGGCGACGATGATAGTCCCTGCACTTGCTAAGGTCTGAACTGCAGCCATCAACCATACACGAAGGAACTTGGGGTCCGTTATAAGGGGTACGTGACCTCTTTGTTAATCTCAAAGACGATGACAACGACTCGATCAAAGTAACTCTAGTTCCTTCATTGTCATCCATTGATCCTTCACCCATATGACCAATGCCCCTGAGTCTCAAATACATCAACCAACTTCCTCTACTCCAACACACTCTCAGTTTCCTTCTATACTAACAATTTTTTGAACGTTTTCCTTTTCTCTAAACAACACTGATTCCCAGTACAAATTTCCCTCAATCAGGATCCTTTGTAGTTCAACTTAACTCACTTCAGAACGTTGTTAATAAGAGTAAGAAACCAGACGATGAACATGAACGATGAACGATGAACGATGAACGGTGAACGATGAACGATGAACAATGAACGAACTCGATTCAGCAAATACAACACAAACAAGCAAAGCAGTATAGAATCATACAAGCTTTTTCTTTCCCTTCAAGATCACTGCACACACGTAATACAATCAGTATTGTCAAAATTTCCTCAACTAGATCAAATTTTTTACTCCAAAAGACAAGGAATATAGCCCATCTTCATGAATTATCCACTTCAGTCACAATTCTCTAAGATCTATGCTCAAAATTTTTAAAAAAGAAAAATAAAGTAGCTCATTATCACCAAGATCAAAATCCAGAACTACAGCAAATTCCAACAGAAACCCAATTCTGCAGCATCATCAAACCATGATAAACTAATTTCAATTTCTGGTCCTAACAAGTAAAGGTTTCAATCCCCATAAATTGCATTTTTGCGCTAGAGATTATCAAAATACAAAAACAAACAAAAACAGCAATAAATTAGAAGAAACTCACAAGTGAAGCTCCAACTTCAATCTGAGAGAGCTCAAAGAGGAAGAACTGAAGAAACAGAACGCTGAAAAACGGCTTCAAAAACCAGAAGGGAATCGGATTTCGACATAATGGGCGCTTCAGTTCGATCTATAAAAGCGGATGAACAGTTCGAGAAAGCGAAGGGATGATAGAAAGAAGCAGAAGAAGGAAGAAATTAGAATGAGAAATTGGGAAGAGTGGATAACGTAGTTGGATGATGATAAAGGGAAGGGGGGAAATGGGTACTTTGGAAGCGTTGAGCATTCCTGTTTACACCCAAATCCATGGGATTTTGGTGGTAGAGAAGGGGAAAATCTGTCGAGTAAAGAGAAAAACAATACAAAAATAAGAAAAATGCATAGAAATGAGTGGCAAAGAAAGCGACAGAGTGTGTTTGTTTTTATGAGTTCAAATTTGAGGGACCCAAAGGAATGGTGGGATTTGGAAAAGGAAACCATCTGCCTTCCTTTCATCACTACTAAATTACTACACACTTCGGCCCCGGTTACATAGAACGGCATCAGAGTTATTGGGGTGTTTTTTGAAATATTCTGGAAAGATAACCATAATATTGCAACTTTTGAAAGAATACGAACATTTTATATGTAAATAACGAACCTAAAGAATGTTAAAATTATAAATTTATCCTTTTTTTCTTTTGTCTTCGTTTCCTCTTCTCTTTACGATAATTTGTTTTCCATAAAAATCACTTTATAAAGTCGAATAAAGTTGTGATTAAAACTACTTATAGAGGGTGGTCATCGAGTTCAAAGACAAAACGAAACTCGATTGCAAGATTCACCTATCAAACATGGACGAAAGTCGACCGTCATGATCCGACGCTATTGAGTAGAAGAGTCATCGTTCAACGGATAAAATTTTTAAGATGAGAGTAGAGTTGTAAGAGGGAATATTTTTATATAATGTGTTAAGCTAGTAGACATGCCAAGTATGGCCCATCTGTACTTTTCTAATTAATATTAATTTAATTTAGTTAGTAATAATTAATTTAAAGTTATAATTAAATTTTATTTATTAGAGAGAGAAATGTTGAGCCATAGAAGTGGAATGAGAAGTTGTGAACCAAACGACCAACTAAAGTAGAAGGCTCCAAATACCACAAGGCCCAAATAAAATAAAATATTTAAGAATAAAACAGCCAACGTCGCCCAGCTGCAACAGCTGGAAAAGAGCCTCTAGAGACCAGTTGAGAACTTTATATGTATAATTTACATTGCTAAACAGATACTATTTTACGGTTAAAACCTCTCGATCGAGAAAGCACCTGGTTTGAACCCACTCGCCTTGCAAGAGCGTTTTCCAGTGCTACAAAAGGATAGCTAAGCACGCTGAGATATTATAGTCCATGCTATGATACCAAAGATGCTCTGATACCAAACCATATGGATAGTAACAAAAAGGACCAACCTCAAGAATCCCCAGGGATTCCCACTTCTCCCAAGTGATTGCCACTTCTTGAGGTGCTTGTACAAGTTTTTACTAAGCTGTTGAATTGTTCTGCAAATAATAAGGGCAGATGTTAAGCTAAGTAAAGTTCCCAACTTTATTTCATGTTAGCTAAACAATACAATTTGGAACACATGGGGCATGTTTGAGAGTGATTTTGAAACGACTAAATCACTTGCTCTTAGCTAACATGCCCTTAGCTCGGGAAGAACGGTATTTCTTGGCATATGGGCCAAAAACTCGAGCACGTTATTGATGTCCCTTAATTCACCAATGTTATATCCTTCAAATAATAAAATAATTAACTCATAGTAGGGCAGCAGCCTTCCAAGTTCAGGATGCATTTATGTGCTCAGCCTTCCAAGACTCAAAACTGTCAAGAAAGCATCAAAATTAGTACATGATGAAGTTACAGGGTCTACCTTAGATTGCAGAACTTTTTGACTATCAATGAAGTACTGGTTTGGATGATTAATCCCAGCGTCGCACGACGAACCATGAACCGATTCAAATGTCAAGGTGCAGGCCAACTAAAGATACATGAGAAAAATGTTTACGTTATTCCCAATATTAAAATAAGATTTTTTTTAAAAAAAGGAGAATTAACAGCCAACCTGATAATGTCTATTTCGCACTTTGTCCAATATATCTTCTATTTTCTGGTTATTTACTCCCATTTTACCTAGAGCTGCTCTTAAGTTGTCTTCACTGTTGAAGAAATCGTTATATCAAGCAATGAGAAAAATAAGTCTGTAAGTAGTGCAACTTTTATGTCATAATTTTGATGAGAAAATTACACTCACAATTCCTTTGAGTCACTCATTAGCGATTCCTATCCTTTCCCCTCCTTCCCAAGCTATACTTACAGCACATTTTCCAACTATCCTAATAATGATCGTTCATGAAGTTACACATGTTTTCACTCATATCACTATCATACTTCTACTAGCAAAATCTGCCAACCCCATCCGAAAACTTTCCTGCCCTTATCGGTTGTGGTAGAAATGAACCTAAGAAACGTGGATACGAGCATGAGAATTGGAGACATGTACCTAGACACAAGACTATATCTATTAATATACATTTTTAAAAATATATATCATTCTTATACCATAAGAAAATTTAAAGTCATCGAATTAAGCATAGCTCTAGCATAATGACCAAGAATAACTCTAGCATAAAGACCGAGAGGTCGAAGGTTCAAATTTTCCACCCCGCTTGTTGTTGAACTCAAAAAAAATGAAGTCCTAGAAGTTTAGGCATTATCACCCCTCTACAAAAGCTGTTTGTTGCCCAGTTATTGTGAAGAGAACTTTTTTAAGATGTTCTGATAATGCCCTTGCTAAGGGTTGTGGTCTTTGAATAACACCTATCCAAAGATCACATGTTTGAATCTTCAAGTGAGATTAATAAGAAAAACACTTGATGTTTCAAAGTCTGGGTCTTGTCATGGGCCCACAATTATAAGAGAGAGACATGCTGTTCTTTTTAATTGATTATTAAGCTTTCCAACTCCACAAAGACGAATTCTTCTAACAATTTTTTTTTATCATGGGTTAACCAGCACATTGCCTTCTGACCTACACCATATATATATGTATGTATGCATGTATGTATGCATGCATGCATGCTAAATGACTTCAGCTTAAAATTCTAGATATCAAGAAATTGTTTTAGGAGGCATACCTGAAATGTCTATAGGGACATCCATGATGATCTCCAACACCAGGTGATGATGAGATAATTTTTTGACAGGAATAAGGTGAATAATCCTAGTACATTCAGATAGAAAAAGATACAAAATCAAGATAGAGAAAATTAGAAAATACACAAGACTGCTTATAGTTGTACAAGTAGGACAATGATGGAGAGCCAGATAAAAACATAACAAGAAAAGACGAGTAATCATGTCGCAGAGAAATAGGACATTAAAAGTTGTAAAAAAAGATGCCAAAATATTTGAAGATTCCTAAAATAAAAATCTAAGTAAAGTTGAATCAACTAGTTCTGCATCTTAAAATCCTTTTTCAAAAACAAATCTGCATCTTGAAGATTTAAAGGCAACATCTCTTACCACTCTCTTGCCTTCTTTTCCATAGTTATGCCTGATACTGTATGCATATTCTTTGTCAAACCTCTCAACACCAACCTATGGAAGAAAGGATAAAGCAATAGCTATAAGACATAAACTTCTAGCAAACAGATAAAGTAATTCAGGAGAAATGGAAGTAAATAAATAGAATAGAGAATAGGATAAAAATCAAGAGAGAGAACTCAAGCTTTATAAAAGATGTTAACTGAAGTACAATTAGGACATCTACAGAGACCAACTTTAACATAATAAAAATGATAATTAAAGATTTCCCAATGGCTAATGGTGGCTTAGGAATTTGCAATTCAAGAAAAAGAAATGAGGTCTGATTAGCAAAATGGTTTGGAGGTTATCTTTAGAGGGTAAGAAACTATACAATATGTCATTGTTAGCACTTATCGAAAGGAAAGATTGTGTTAGTTTGTTAACGAGAGATAATCAAGTAGTCTTCAAGAACCCTTAAAAAGTACAGCATTGCGCAAACCGTGTTTGAAGAATTCACTTCTATCAGAATTGAAATGAAAGCGGAATCTAAGATGAACGGACCGGCCCACAGCCTTTTGTCCAAACTTTCACAGGGGTTTTTGCAGTTCTAAAGGGACTTGTATATTTCTTTTTTAAACCAAGAACAAACTTTTCATTGATTTCATTGACAAGTGAAATGCTGCAAATAGTCAAGAAAACAAACTCCCACATGGAAAGAAAAGAGAGTTAAAGTTTTAAAGGGGATTGCTTGTTAAAGATGGTTGGAAAGAGAGCATAGCCAATTTGAACTGTGTGATGCGAAGAAACTTAACTGATAAAGAGAGATGAATTTAGCAACTAATAGAATTCCTAAAAATGGTTTGTCTCAATATAAAAGAATATTGAAATTAATGGCACTTAAATTTTTAGATACTTTCTAGCTGAATTCACTATTCTTCCAATTGAAATATATTAATATGTCTCAGCAAGAATTTTTATTTGGCAATAAGGGAAGGTGAGGGGCAAAAAATTCTTATTGTGGGTTAGGGATGACATAAGGTTAGAGTTAGGAGACTCACTTCCCAATCCCAACCCCATTTCTAAAATCATTACTCAATTTTTGAGTTGTTATTGTTATATCACCATTTTGACTGCTGCTTATTCCTTTGCAGATAACTTAAAAGAGTATTATTATGCTTACTCTCTGCGAGAACTCAGCTCTCCAGAAAGTAAGGGCATCATCAAGCTTCAAACCAACACCCTGCATGTGAAGAATTGTAGTTAAAGATTGAAAGGCTTCATACCAAAAAATGAGAGGAGCATTACACAGATAAATACTTCAGTCAAAAATACTACTCATGCTTTCAATCAACTACATATTATTTGTTCTTGATTGTTGATTCTCCTCATATAAAAACATCATCCATCATCTAAATTAAACTGCCTTTACTGCTTGAAGCTTGAAACCAGTCAATAAATTTTTTCCTTTGGAATGTTACTTTGGTTTTGATCCCCGAAATACAGCTTTTCCGTAATCTCCAAAGCTTTTACTTTGGGTACAAAAAGAGATCTTCCTGCTTTGGTATTGTATCAAATGATAACAAAAATAGCCGATATCACCATTACACAACCATTAAGAAACTTTAACAAGACAGGAAATGACGATAGAGGAACATGTACACAATTCATATTTATAAGAGCAATTCAACTCTTCCATGTAGAATACACAAGACCATTCAGCACTTTTGTATACATACATTTAGTGAATGGAACGGTAATTATCAACTCTCTCAAACCAAATGTGATCAATACCAAACAGAAA